GGGGGGAGGGGGGGGGGGGGTAATCGATATGGGACGCATCCAGACTTCGCGACGACGCGCGATTATGCCGTCAACGTGCGATGGTGGCGGCGGAAGATGCCACTTAACATGCCTGCACATCCACTCGCGTCGCCCAGCTCATGGTTAGGTAAATATCAGCTTCTTGGTCCTTTCTCTCTGAACCACAACTCACCACGATAGAGGGTTTGGTTCTTCAAGTGGAATCCGCACTGAGGTTTGATCCCGGACGATGCACTTGGTAGCAGCGCCTCTTGCCACTTTCCTACCGTAGCTTATTCACAAGTTCTAATGACTCATCAAAACGCCGTCTTTGTTAACGGAAAGGCGAGTCTGAAAAAATTGAACAGAGGAACCGAAAGGGATTCTATCAGCCACTAGGTAAGCTTACATTCGAAGGGACGTCGGATGCGTGGCGCGTCTGGAGATGGGAGTGCTTGTCAGCTCGAAATGCTTTTTCCTTGGATAGTTACTGATCTCCATCGGCATAAAAGGAACGAAAAAAATCAATTATGCTCGCTTTTTCTGCTGCTAGCAGGGTACAGCATCGCTGGAGGATCCTATCGGGATCGTGGAGACGGACAAGACAACCGTAGTGTGTCGCGTCGCCGCGCGCGGCGTACCATGGGACGGAGCGCGGCAAATTCTCAATAATCACTGTCGACTGGAGCAGAGAAACTCGAGAGAATCAAGCGCAGGCAAGACTCCATACCCACTGATGTCGATGTTTTCCGTCTCTTCAAAATTCAAACTGCCAGACTAGACAATTCGTCCGTCGAGCGCGTCGCGCTCGCCCCGTTAAAGGGCGCCGCTCGCCCCGCCCTCTAACTCTAATTGCCTTGTCACATACCCTCGTAACTGACCTCAAAAATAGAAATGAAATTTATGTCGTTGACGACGACCTCCCTCCTTTACAATGTCCATGTCAACGTCGAGCCCCCTCTCCGACTCTCGTGGAGGCGGGGCAAACCTGTAGATTTGTTTGGGTGTGCTCATACCACCGTTTTTGGCGGTGTATGAGACAACTCGGACCCGTTTAACGCTCTCATCCTTCACATAGTAATAAAAGTTCACTGAACACCGCCTTTTGTATTGAGACGCGGGTCATAACCCATCATTCAGCACCCTGCCTGGTCAATTTTCCCCAATAATAGTTTCTCCCTTTTCAGTGCCTTATTTGAATCCACCCCTGTTCGTGGTCAAAATTTTCGGAAAGTTGGCAGGGAGTTGGAAGAACTTGGTAAGATGGTAGGCAGATTGTGACAGGGGGTCGTTTGGCGTGGAGGTGCACTAATTTGCGCGCGTCGTGCGAAGAAATACCTCGATTCCCATGTTTTCAATTAGCATGGAGCTGTGAGGGACGCAGACACGACGACACGACGAAGCTGTCCGCACTACGTTGATGACAGAGGAAACGGGAGACGGGCAAGAGAATCGTGAATTGCCGCTTCGTCGCGCGCGGCAATGGGCGCGACGTTTCCTTAATTTGCACTACCCTTTCGATTGGAGCATCGGATTTCATGTAGACAAGGACATGGTAGACACTTATGTCTTGGACATACATTATTTATTCTTGAACAATATCACCTAAAATCGTCGTCATTAGCGGGCGCGACGTCGCACGCGACGCCTACTGGCGCGGCGAATTACGAAACTCTTGCTATATACCCGTAGGAATGTAAAGGGGTGCCCGATACAACCAACTGGCGAGAAAAATCACCGCGCGCAGCATTGTGCTCCCGCAGTATTCGCTGCCTTGAGAACGGAAAAATTAAAAATCAAAAAAGATTTCTGTCAGACCGCTTCAACCTCTCCCTCCCTTACAACTGAATGTGCTCCTATTCCCTAGTGTTGAGAAACGCCAATGTGCCCTCATTCAGAGTTCAAAATACCTGTACATTGTTCGGAGCTTCTGACTTCAAAATGTGTCTTTGATCAACTACTATGTACCCATACTTTATTCTGGCAACTCAACGTTTTTGAACATGCAATAAAACAATACCGGGGAAAAGAATATAAACACTCCAGTTATTTCATACAATGTAAAACGGGGGTAAAAATACGTTAAATTAATTTAAAACGAACAAAAACACAAATAAACAACATCGTGAAAAACACGTGGAAGTGAGCACAACAAAACTCGAAAGGCTAGCGAAGGGTACGCCCAAATGAATGTGACGTACTAGAAACCTGCCTCAATTGCTTTCGCTAAACCACGATGCGACCAATTGCTAACGAATACCTCGACTCGGTGGTAGAATGCTTGCAATGCTTCTGAAAACCACATAAATAAATAATAAATAATACATATGACGTCAATAATTCGAGTTGCTTCACCACCATGTGCTACAGTCGTCATCCGGGCACTTGACTAGGGCGCCCAAAACTCGCAACGCGGCTGCGGCGCGTCACGACCGCGACGATCTAATTGTACGCAAAAATCAGAGGAATCTCATAATTCACCTTGTGAAGACAAGGAACAACTAATCTTGAGAAAAGCAGCCAAAACAGTGTAAATTAGGGAGAAAATGGCTAAAATAGGCTGGAAACAGCTGATCGCCGCGCTCGTGACACGCCGCAGCCGCGTCGCGACCCTTGCCGCCCTAATCAAGTGCCCGGATGACGACTGTAGATATAC